CAACAAAAAGACGACGTGTTAATGATAATCACAATATAACAACATTTTAAAAAGTGTCACTAAATGAAACTTACGCTAAGTTATCTATGATACTGTTTTTATCGTCTTGGTTGACATCTGACCAATGTTCACAATTCAGAGGAACGATTGACCGCACCCATACCCCAATTTGAGAGACCAGTTTCGAACTATGGCTACAAACTGGCTTGACATCTTCTTCTTCGATATTAATTTCTATCAGACCATGATTTTGGACATGTTTATCAACATTCAGCCCTCTAGTGTTGTGGCTACCTTTTCTTTCAGCCGTGCCAGAACCTACACGAAAGATATCATATATTTATATATTCAAGTTTAACTTGGAATAAAAAAAAGATTTCTATTTAAATATCATACTCTGTGTTGTTTGATTAGCCTCTCCTAGTTGAGTGCTTTCTATTCTATCGACATTGCTTGTGTAACTCCATCGGTTCCTGGTCCAAGATTTGAAGACGACATCATGTAACATAATAATGGACAAAATCAAACTGTAATTAATTATAGGTCGAAATAGAAAAATAGTGAAAATATAAGACGAAATATTACATGCATATTTATCGACTTACAAATAAGTTTATATGTCACTATCGCTCTCTTCATCGTCTAATAACATATTGGAATCTATGCTTCCAGAATCATCACTAGAATACTCAAAATCAAACTCTTCTTCATCACTAGTTGTTTTCTCGTCACTATCTATATATACTGAATCTTCAATAGGCATCGGCTCAACATCTTCTCTATTGAAGGTTTGTGAATCTAAGTTATCATCAACTTCTGGGTAACATGTGCGAATGCTTTCATCCGCCACTACTTCTTCGGTTTCATTATTTTCAGCCTCCGGAATATCCCACACATGTCTTGGTTGAATTTGTTGAACAATCTATGGGCGACGGCAACCACCACACCTCGATACCGGCAATCGGAGGAGATGAACGGATAGGGGAGGTGTTGAAATCGACGGCGCGGCGTCGGATGGGAAAAGAAATTGCGTTGGCTGCGAGGGTTTGTGAAATCGCGATCTGATTTGGGATAAAAATCAGAGATTTTTAGCGACACATACAACTTATGTGTCGCTGAAACTATTTTCAGCGATGCCGTCAATTGATGTCGTCACTGAAAGTGTACTTTCAGCGACAGTTTGTTAACGGTGTCGCTGAAAATAGACTTTCAGCGACATACGGTTGAGGGCGTCGCTGCAAACAGTTTCAGCGACAAAGCGACATATATTTCAACATGTCGCTGAAAATAAGATTTAGCGACATCATATGTTGACAATGTCGCTGAAAGCATATTTTAGTGACATTGTTGTTAATATGTCTCTAAACTTGTAGTGTGCCCATGAGTTTGATATTGACATAAAAGGTGAATCAATATTTCTAGAGTATCGACAAAATATACAAAATTATCAACAAAATATAACTACTATAAACATAATCTTAATATTACTAACTTTTAACTCATTTGAAAAAGGATGAAATGCGGATTTGTTAATTTAAATATTTAATTCTAAATAGCGCCTTCTTGGGTCTTTGGTTGTTGGTCAACCCCTTTCATTTTCTACAATTAAAAACCACTTTTCAATCCCCTCTTCTTCCTTCAAATTTTAGAGTCCCTGCAGCGCTCCATAGAAAGCTAATTAACATAAATTATTTCATTCAAATTAACATAACTAATTCTCATCAATCAATGTTTTACATTACACCATTAAGATAAGCCATTATTTCTTTCAAATTGCTTAATCTCACGTCTCAACTCGAGAGTGGATTCATTATTTCATTTCTATTTTCCCTCTCGTCTTGTCAGTTGTACAATAGTTAATTCATTTTCCACACATTAATTGCTCACCTCTCCCTTCTCTTCTTTCTTATTTCACTAAGAAAATCTCATTTATTTTACTTTACTTTTTTTTTTCAAAGGAAATCAACTCACCTTTTATATTATCTTTCTTTACTCACCTTTTGGAGTCACATAAGCCCGTTTCGCGATTATACCTATAATTTTAAGTTTCTCATTTTTTAAGAAACGTTTTCTAAATTGTGTAGAACTTTTAAAAGGGACGACCTGAGATATGGCAAAAAAGTTAGAAGCAAAATAGCAACAAGGTTTGAGTTTTCAAATCAATTTTTACTTGAAAACTTTTCAAGGTGCATCAAACATTAGACTTGGATAAATAGTATAATTTTTACCTCAAATTTAAAACATAATTGCGGTAACTTTTCCCTTCTAATAGAAGAATTGGTAAAATAAAATAAAAACACATCTCGCGGTGTTCAATGGCAAATCAATAATAAAACATGGACTTAATACAAAATTAATAGGGCTTTAACAAAGAAGCATTAGAGTTAATTTTTTTCTAAAAATTATTAGTTCATGAGGAGACTTATTTTATATATTGATCCGGCTTGCAATGTTTGAGTTTAAAATGAAACTAGTAAATTTTTTGGGAATTTTTTTATGTTTCCTTTTTGTCAAAACTAGAAAATTTGCACTTGCATGGCACGTGCATGTAATGAATTTTAATTACATATGTTTTTTAATTTTATGAATATGTACTTTAGTTACAAAGTTATTATTAAAATAAAAAAATAGTTATTTTATTTAAATTACATATATGCTTTTAACTAAAATCTGTAATTTAAGTGAGTTAAAACAAAACCCCTTTCAAAACCCAATCATGTACTACACGCATCTCATGTTAAAACAAAAAATAATAAATAAATATACATGAAGGTCCCTTTCCTTTAGTCAGTTTACAATTTAGCCCTCAAATCTTTAAAATCTTTTAATTTTATCCTTAATGTATTAAAAATTCTCTACTAAGTCCTTCCTCAAATAATTTTTTAAAATTTGTTAACAAAAAGATATAAATCAATTATAGTTTTATTTAAACTAGTTTAGATGTTGTTGGACACTTAAAACCTAGCCTGGGCATCAGAAAAACTTAACCTAAAGATTAATAAAATTATTTTTCTTTTTCCAAGTTGCCTACCCGCATGTTTAATTATGTTAATAAAATAATAATTTTATGACATATTAGTTTTTTATTAACAAACTGAAACAATTTTTTTAGGTACGAACTTATTTAAAAACTTTTAATATATTTAGAGAAAGGTATTAAATATTCACGTTCACATTTCCACATGTCCATGAGTTCAATATTGACATGAAAGGTAAAACGACACTTTGATAGTATCACAAAAAAAATCCAATAAAATATAGAAAAAAGATATTAACAAAATATCACTAATATAAACATAATCTTAATATTACTCATTTTTAACTTATTTAAAAGGGATGAAATGCTAATTTGTTAATTAAAATATTGTTTTGAGTTTTTGATTTTTATAAAGTTTCTAGAATACCCGTCTAACATTTCCGTAAAATTGGAACATCTACATTTCCATGGTATTGACCTTTAAAATTTGATTTAAGGTAAGATTAAAAGTTTTAAAATTTTTAGAGACCAAATTGAAAAAGCTCAAAGATTAGGGTATATGTAGCCAAAAAATAAATAAATTGCAAATAGGGGCCTCTTGGGTCTTTGGTTCTTGGTCAACCCCTTTAATTTTCTACAATTAAAAACCTCTCCCAAATCCCCTCTTCTTCCTGAAATTCTTCCTGAAATTCTTGCTCCCTTAATCCACCAAAATTAGCTTGGTGCCTCAAATTATGGAGTTTTTCAGTGGCGCCAAAGTTGTTCGCCTCCAGAGCCATCTCGCCAAGTACCTCCAAGCCGCCGACGACCAAGATTCCGTCCGCCA